TGAGGCCATAGTGCTGGCTATGTCGTCTGCCCAAGCCGCTTATAGCCAACGGACGGGTTTCCGGGGGCTAGAAAGCCGGATAATGTGGGCAGCTTCCGTGTCTGCTGGTGGGGTGAGCTCTGTACTTTTTCTCAGAACTTCTCCCCCTTGGACTCCGCCGCAGAGCAGACCCTAGTTGGTTTACTTTGCGTGTGGACAAGGAAGAACACTCTAAAAAAAAAAGGTGTCAAGGGAGAGTAAGTGCCCTAACTTACTCTCCTTTAACCCTATCTGCAAGGAAGTTACTCTTTCCCGACCGCTTCTTTCGATGATACTCTCCCTTAACCCTCCCTCGACCTCGAGAGTAACTGTAACGAGAGTTAGTTTCTCCTCGCGATATCACGGGCTGTCGATAGATGGCGCCGCTATGGGTTCGGCGCAAGTTCGACGCTGTTCGGCGCAGGTATTTTTTTCGTTTTCTCGGGGAAACCTTTTTTTCCTATCCGCTTTTCTTTTTGCTTTTTTTTTTCTTCTTTTTTCTTTTTTTTTGGGGGGGGGGGAGATGGGCAAGGATGTTTTAATAAATGAGTTGGTACAGCCTGCCTTGACGGGTTTATATTTCAGTATTTATCAACTTAATTATTACCTGCGGCAGGAAGATCATTTGAGTGGGGGACACTCCTTTATCCAAGCAATAGGCAATTAATGTTTTTGCTACACAGATATATTAAACAATAAACATATAGATCAGTGTGTAAACGGGTGTATGAGCGGATGCTGACGCGCGTGTGCGATTATGTTTCGTTACATAAGTGCCTAGGGTTGTTATGTAGCCCAGGGATGTTTTGGGGGCATTGTTATATTTTTGGGGGGTCGTTAAAGTTACTGCTGAGCCCGACCTCACTGATCGTAGGAACAGGTATATGTATAAAAAAAGTATTTTTTCCACATTCGCATTAAAAGCAAGCAAAGAGGAAAACCTCCCTCCGTGACAGAAGAGGTCGGCTTCGCGCGGTCTATTGCATACGCCACGTGACGACCATTTCATAAAGCGTCGCCCTAAACACGGCGTTCGTTTCGAAGCCATGTGTAGGTTAAAAAACCTATACATGGCGGCAAGCCAGGTTTATGGTACGTGACACTAGGGGCTCCCCCCCGTGGAGAAAATAAACGACGGAGCCAGAGCGTTTGGAAAAGTTGTTAGCGATGATTTCCAAACTTGTTATGCGGTCTTTGTTTTGAGTCATTAAATAAACTTGGCTTGACTACTACCTTTTTTTTTTCAATATTTACATTTTACTTTCCGAAGCGAGGGAGTCGATTAGTCTTCTGCTCTGTTCAAGAAAAGCTCTGGGGGGTTAAACCTTTAACTCTGCACAGTTTGCTACATCCTTTAACTGTTTTAACCTCACTCTCCGAAGCTCCCTTGACAGGAAGGTTTTCGATATAAGAGAACATTCAAGATCGCTGCTCTTTTCCGCTGTTCATCAAACAGTTCCTAATGTACAGCGGAAGCACCGTGTAGCATTCCGGATATCGATATTTGTGGTACGGATCTCACTGGCTTTAAATATAGATACATTAGTGTGTATTACAGAAGTCTTATTTCGCTGTCCAACAGAGCCACATTTAAACTGCCATTGACGGGTTCACCTTACGTTCAGTTGATTCTACACAGCAAGCGATAGCTCAATTATTTGGGGGAGAACGTAGACTGCTCTATGTCGCCCTACGATATGTTAAAAAGTATGCTAAGCTTCTTATGTTCAATGTCCCCGAGGTACGAAACACGGACGACAGAAGCTCAGTTAAAATGAATGAGCGAAAATGTCTATATGTTCTGTAACTAGCGGTAGCTTCCTCCATCTAGCATGGCCTTTGAAAAAGCCTGTGTCTAGAGTGCCGTGGTACTCTTGCCAAGCGTTCAAATGCCCACGTCCGATGGCACTCTAAGCACGCATTGGAGTGCCGTCCGAATGCCCTAAATGGGCTGTACAGAAGACGTGGGTCAGTGCGTCCCGAGAACCATAGCCTGCCGCATCCGTGAGCTAAAGAAATCCGATTCACAAAAAAATTTTCACCATCGAAGTGCTTCGGAAGTGAGGGAAGTGTCGCAAGCGGAAATTTAGAGGACCCAGAGGAAATTAGAGAGTAAATAAATTTAGAGGAATTTAGAAGATAAATAAATCTGTCTTTTAGAGACAGCCAAATTTACTTATAAGCTTGGTCTTGGTACCAATCCAGCCAGCTGAAAGTCATGATGTGGAAAGATTGTGAACTTTAATTTGGTCTCCTGTATTTGTTAGTTACCGAATCGACAACAAACCAGCACCAACCAACCAGCTCTTCTACGACGCAAATATTTTCACGAAAAAACTTCAAAAAAAAAAAAAAAACTTCGAAAAAACAAATAAATAAACACAAAAAAGATAGTGTGGAATGGGCATGCTGCGGACGCGTATAAGCAAACCATATCCCGTACAGTGCCTGGCCACGCCCCCTTCGGCGCGACGCGAAAGCGGCCATTTCATTGGTTTTGAAAATGTCACGTGACCTGACGTCACTTCCGCGCCGTTTGAACGCATTTGAGCGCGTTTTCGTCTTGTCAAGATGGCGTCCGCCGCTGCGCTGGTGGGTGAGACGCGCGTTACGCTGCGCCGCTGTAAACACTTCGTTTCACGCGCGTGCCTAGATGACTCGAATGCTTTCAACTTAGCGATGTGAACTCGTTTTTCGGTAAGATGAACGCCCAGGACTGCACGCCGAGATAATGCCACCGCATACGCGCCGCTGCCGAAGTCGCCCCTACGAGTACGACCACTACGATCGTCGAAGTTCGCCGCTGCACCGATGACTCGAATGCTTTCAACTGAGCGATGTGAACTCGTTTTTCGGTAAGATGAACGCCCAGGACTGCACGCCGAGATAATGCCACCGCATACGCGCCGCTGCCGAAGTCGCCCCTACGAGTACGACCACTACGATCGTCGAAGTTCGCCGCTGCACCGATGACTCGAATGCTTTCAACTGAGCGATGTGAACTCGTTTTTCGGTAAGATGAACGCCCAGGACTGCACGCCGAGATAATGCCACCGCATACGCGCCGCTGCCGAAGTCGCCCCTACGAGTACGACCACTACGATCGTCGAAGTTCGCCGCTGCACCGATGACTCGAATGCTTTCAACTGAGCGATGTGAACTCGTTTTTCGGTAAGATGAACGCCCAGGACTGCACGCCGAGATAATGCCACCGCATACGCGCCGCTGCCGAAGTCGCCCCTACGAGTACGACCACTACGATCGTCGAAGTTCGCCGCTGCACCGATGACTCGAATGCTTTCAACTTAGCGATGTGAACTCGTTTTTCGGTAAGATGAACGCCCAGGACTGCACGCCGAGATAATGCCACCGCATACGCGCCGCTGCCGAAGTCGCCCCTACGAGTACGACCACTACGATCGTCGAAGTTCGCCGCTGCACCGATGACTCGAATGCTTTCAACTGAGCGATGTGAACTCGTTTTTCGGTAAGATGAACGCCCAGGACTGCACGCCGAGATAATGCCACCGCATACGCGCCGCTGCCGAAGTCGCCCCTACGAGTACGACCACTACGATCGTCGAAGTTCGCCGCTGCACCGATGACTCGAATGCTTTCAACTGAGCGATGTGAACTCGTTTTTCGGTAAGATGAACGCCCAGGACTGCACGCCGAGATAATGCCACCGCATACGCGCCGCTGCCGAAGTCGCCCCTACGAGTACGACCACTACGATCGTCGAAGTTCGCCGCTGCACCGATGACTCGAATGCTTTCAACTTAGCGATGTGAACTCGTTTTTCGGTAAGATGAACGCCCAGGACTGCACGCCGAGATAATGCCACCGCATACGCGCCGCTGCCGAAGTCGCCCCTACGAGTACGACCACTACGATCGTCGAAGTTCGCCGCTGCACCGATGACTCGAATGCTTTCAACTGAGCGATGTGAACTCGTTTTTCGGTAAGATGAACGCCCAGGACTGCACGCCGAGATAATGCCACCGCATACGCGCCGCTGCCGAAGTCGCCCCTACGAGTACGACCACTACGATCGTCGAAGTTCGCCGCTGCACCGATGACTCGAATGCTTTCAACTGAGCGATGTGAACTCGTTTTTCGGTAAGATGAACGCCCAGGACTGCACGCCGAGATAATGCCACCGCATACGCGCCGCTGCCGAAGTCGCCCCTACGAGTACGACCACTACGATCGTCGAAGTTCGCCGCTGCACCGATGACTCGAATGCTTTCAACTGAGCGATGTGAACTCGTTTTTCGGTAAGATGAACGCCCAGGACTGCACGCCGAGATAATGCCACCGCATACGCGCCGCTGCCGAAGTCGCCCCTACGAGTACGACCACTACGATCGTCGAAGTTCGCCGCTGCACCGATGACTCGAATGCTTTCAACTGAGCGATGTGAACTCATTTTTCGGTAAGATGAACGCCCAGGACTGCACTCCGAGATAATGCCACCGCATACGCGCCGGTGCCGAAGTCGCCCCCTACGAGTACGACCACTCCGATCGTCAAAGTTCGCCGCTGCACCGTAGCACCAAACGCTAGCAACTAATGCTTTCACCTCGGCGATGTGAACTCGTTTTTTGGTAAGATGAACGCCCAGGACTGCATGCCGACATAATGCTACAGCATACGCGCCGCTGTCGAAATCGCCCCTACGAGTACGACCCATAACGATCCTTGGAGTTCGCCGCTGCACCGTAGCACCAAATGCTAGCAACTCTTGCGGAGGACGGCTCGCGGACGCAGTGCTTCTTGTACGTGGACATGTTCTCGTTCCGCAAACGCGCCTAATCGTGACACGGGCGCGCTGTGCGCCTGATGTCTACGCGCGTTCCAGTGCGAATTCGGAAAGCGATGGAGGTGTCGTTCTATCACCATCAAAGTAATCGCGCCCCTCAGAATGACTGACACCTTCAGTAAATGTACCACAGTAGGTTGTAGTTGCGCATCTCACTTTACTGCTTTCCATGTTCCTCATGAGAGTAGGCACACATAACATTGCTCTGATCACTCTTCCTACCCGTGAGGTTGAAGTTACTGTGGAGGAAAATGTCAGTTGTCCAGCACCACGAAGACTTCTACGGCGAGGGGGAACAAGCCATGAAGAGGGAATAAGAGCACATACCTCACACACAAGTGAAGCTTTTATTTCAAAACAGGAAACGCTTTCAAGATTAAATGTAGAACAGTACAGTATATAGTAGTGGTTTGAAGGTCCCCATGCTCCAGGCACGTTTTCACACATCAAACACTTTTCAAACTACAGGGTGCAATCGAGAAAGGTAAACCCTTACTTTTGGCCTGCATAGACAAACTATGTATCGCCGAATGCCGAAACTCCACGCGAATGTAACCTTGGCGATCTCAGCAAGATGCCAAAGTTTCAGAAAGTAGCGTCATCGAATTGAATATTTATGCATGATTACCGGAAATTTTCAATGTGAGAATGGAGGCTCGCAGAGCTCGCGATTACATGGAGATGAATGGGAGACGCTACTGGGACGCGACCCCATTTTCCTATTGAGATTTTCAGAAAATTCCTACTAACTTTCAAATTCAATGACGTCACATTCTGAAACTTTGGCATCTTGCTCAGACTGCTAGGGTTACATTCTGGCGGAGTTTGAGCGTTCTGCTATGCACAGTCTTTTTATGAGGGCCGAAAAGGAGGGTTTACTTTTTTCGATCGGACCCTGTAGCGCAGCAGCATAATATTCTGCGCCTTACTAAGTGCGTCGAAGGGTAACCTCCTCAACTGGCCCATTATGGGGTGAGAGTATGTCCTCAGACATCTACGGGTTTTCAATGATTATGGAAGTAATCAAGTGGAAACTGCACTGCTTCAAATGTGAGCATAGCCCAGTCACGTCGGTCTTGTTCATTACACGGTCCAGCTCATCCCCACGGCATTGATTAATCTCTAGGTATGTCGGATTGTGTTCCTTCATGACGTCCAGCCACCGCAAGTGGGGCTCTTGTGCCTGCATAAAAGACATTGAAACCACCAAGTTACGTCTAGTCTGATTTGGACCTACGAGAAGTCCACGGCTGTAAGGCCATGCAGCAGCCACTGAGGACTCTCCTCTACATTTTTTTTCTTCATGGTTGCACTTCGCAGTATTCATGCATGGCTTCTCAAGATTACTGTTAAGTAGCACGACTGATTCCAGCCACCTAGAGCTGTTATTCTGCTAAGGCAACAGGCAAAATTAGTCCTGCCAATCGTAGACTGTGAGCAACAGGTGAGGTGAGCAATACCCATATGCTTCACATTAAAATTGGGCTTGTCTCGGCACATTTGGCCATGTTGAAACTGTCATGCCGTAGCCCTGAGCGTCACATGTGTGCCAAGTCATTGAATAAACAGTTTTATTTCTCTACTATGCTAAGTTAAATTCAAAGGACCTCGGTTATTATCCCAGTTAACACTGCGCAAACTTTGTAGGAACAAACGGTCCTGCAGTCGTCCATTTCTGCTTCGGGTAAACAGTTCGCTGTTTACCTTTCAGGTAAACAGCGAACTAAAAAAATTAATGTGCAATTCGCATCAGATAGAAATATGCACGGCTTTAAATGGCTTGGCTGCACTTTTGCCAAATAAAAGTGCACGCTTCGCAGCCCAGAACATTGCATAAGTGCCTCTGTCACAGGTGGCAACTGCATTTTGAGAAACTTGGCTTCCTTAGATGCCAACATCAAGTGACCCTCTGGCCCTTCTCGATATGGTTGTGGGCAGCTGTCAGCCAGCTCCACTCTGCCCGTGATAGTGGCCTGGGAGGCACCTTGTTGCGGGCCATGACTCCTGCAGCACTGCCCTCTCCACAATAGGGTTGTTGATCGTGAAGACCTGTAGTGCCTGGCAAAAAATAATATGCTGCCCACCATTGGAGCAACGAAGAACTGAACTACCATACCGAGTGTACCGAAACATGTCTTCCACACATAGAAATGTTATCAGGAGGCACAAAGACGAGGCAGAAAAGTGTGCGCCGTCATTGGTCGAAACAGTGAATAAAGGCATGTCATCGTGTCTCGGTGGTAAACAAAAGCCTGAGGTGCGTGAACAGCTGACTGACTTGCTGCATATTCCTTCTCTATACACAGAGATATTATCCTTACATTTGCTCGAGACAACAGGCTGCCGACATCCATTTATGTACAAGATACCAACCTACAGGAATTGATATCTTGCATTTTTGTACCACAAACATGTTTCTGCCTGGAACATTTCACTTTTATTATCTCGGCTGCTCACACTGCTGGCAAGTGCGCCTTCACTGAGTGCATACAACAAAGCCATGTGTTTTTTTTTTTTTTGAAGCAGCATTGAAATTATAGTCATAGTCTTCATTGGCTTAGGAAAGCCGTGGCACCATGGAAAGGCAACAGCCCGTACCATGAAGGCCCGCGGTGCCGCGTCTAATGAAAATGAGTATGTACAAGATCCGAGATAACTCTTATATGCTTCTCACATGACAACTTTATCAGCAGTGCGTCTTGGACAATGGCCTCCAAGGTTTGCAAGTTTGTAGCGTAAAGGGGCGTCCATGTCAATGGATGCCCCTCTACACAAACAGAAAGCTGCAAAATTTGTCCTTTAAAGGCCGATGCTCAACCTTGACGTTCTGCAGGGGCTATAATCCTCTTAGAGTCCTCCTCTCTTAAACTGCGAGGGGGAGCTGCATTGTGTGAAGGTCGAAGGTGGAGAGGATATAGGAAAGGAGGGGGTCCGAAAAAGTGCAAGCTGTACGTCGGCCTGCTGACGTACAGCTTGCACTTTCCACTTTTCCGAACGAGCTTTAAGCTCGTTCCTTTTTGCCGCAAGAAAAAAAAAAAAAAACGTCCTAGTACTGCAAGTTGATGATGAGATCATGATACATTGAAATACAAAACAACAAAACAATGGAGCGCATAGCTTTCGGCACATGCTGCGCCAACTGGAGGTCGCCTAGGAACTCACACAAATGCTCAGTTGCAGTGAGGGCGCGTGTCCTGCTCCAATATGTTCGACCCTCGCTAGGCACATGCTGAAGTTTCGGTGCTAAGCCGGCATTGCGCAGCTGGAAGCCCTCGCTTAGCTCGTACCAATTAAGATTAAGGACCAAAGCGACACAGGGCAGTCGTGCCTCGGCTTGATTCTGGAGAATGAGCGGCGAGCTTTCCACCTTCAAGTCGATTCAAAACAAGCAGAAGAGAGCATAGGAATGAGGGTGCTGGGACAGAGGTGCGAAAAGGAAATGGGAGAGAACGTGAGGAACTGTTTGTTAGATGACGCCGCCCGCCCGAGGGTATCTGAGACGACTGTCAAGGGCCTCCACAGTCGTCCCAGCCACGCCTTGAAAGCCTATTTCTTGCATACCGTGAGTCCCGACGGGGAAGAAGAGCGATGCACAGGAGGAAGACAACGAAAAGAATAGAAAAAGAGAAAACACTAAAAGAGGACATGCATCGAGGAAGGCGAAGCTGCCTGCGTTTTGTACAGAATGCAGGCAGAAAGGGCACCCTGGAAAGCCTATCTTCAGAACAATTTGGTTCAGGCCACATGCGTTGTTGTCTCTCCACCTGTCTCGGTGGCTTCTTTTTACAAAGTGTTTGGCACCCACTTTCGCGACTTTTCGGGGTTGGGGGTTGTGGAGGCACCGCTTAGAAAACAGTGAATTTTACCAACCTACGAAATCAGGACATTTGACGCTTTTCTCAATCTCTTGCAGGACGCGGGACAACGACTTCTAATGCGGGACGGGCGGTCACCCTAAGTAGCTGGAAGCGTAAACGAGAAACATTAGTTTATTTCTGCATCCAAAGCCCCCATGCAAAATAAAGTTCAAATAATGTAGTTGACCCAACTCAGTTGCTTCAACCTTGTAAGAAGTGGCACGCTAGCTTTATTCGTACAGAAGCGAAGAATGGTTTTGGCTAACTCGCCGTTTCTTGGCTAATGATGCTGAGTGTATCATTTCTGAGGCAAACTAACACCTTCACCATGACCGAATAGGGCATATTGCTATGAAATATAGCTAAAGTGGCCGTCATTTATCTGCAGTAAACAAGCCAAGAGAAATAAACACTGCGGGAGTGCTTCAACGCCCCGCGCCCAAGCAGCGTGCTGCTGCTGTGGCTACCGGCTAGCTTGCTCACGCCGCACTAGCCAAGGACCGACAATAATGTCAACAGGGCCTCCGCTTCAAGTGCAATGCTGGCGCAGCGCCGAACCTTTGGATGTGCAAGCGAGAGTTGAGCACATTAGTGCATGAAGCCTCGCATCCACTGCGCATTTTTGTGATTTCGCCGGCAAACGCCTAGTGACACAGCATGTACTGAAAGCCACGCGCTCCGTTGTTCGTATTTCAATGTATCAGGATAGCACAAACTACTAGTTAGAACAAGACTTGGTTGTCAGAGATGGAACGGCATTGCGCACAGGTATGGTCATCTATCACATGAATCGAGAAATTAGTTGCGCTCTGCGGGGGCCAAACATTTTACTACTGTCGTTGAGGTTAGAGTGTAGTGTCTGGCAAGTAGAGAGAAGGGGACAAGTGGGTATGGCTCTCGCATTCTGTGCCACTTACGAATTGACTCCCCAAACAAGAGCAGATGGGTTTCGCTGAGAAGTTTGAAAGCTACCGAGTACCCCTCGACGCTCTGTTCACTGTCCATGAGGACAGCGCCAGCCATCATTGCTACTGTGGCGGTGCGCTCAGTTCTGTCGCAAGAGGATGTCCAGGGCCTGCCACATGATAGGGGTCACCACCACAACTGCCGAGCCGGTTTCCCAGCAGCTCACCGTGATGCCGGTCCCTGAAAATCATTGTGTAAAATGAGGCGAGGCTCGATCTAATCACTTTTTTCAAGCAACTGTAACATTAGAATTCGCCAATAATTTGTCCGTTACGACTGTACTATAGCTATTTGCAAGCTAGAAAAAAAGGTGGCGGCTTCCCGCAAGGGGTGTGATGTGCATAAATCTAAAATGGAAATCTTAGCTGGGGTCCTCTATAATGACACATTTCTAGTAGAAACTGCTAAAGACTGCACAGGAACAGCCCCTCTATTTCATGAGGCAACGCGGTAAAATGCGGTGGCCAGCCATGTGACACTAGAAATGGATCGTGGCACTGTAGCAACTTCTAGTACACTTGGAGCCACTGTACTAAGAGTCGACAGAACTGCTAAATTGCGCCGTCCCGACGACAGATGGTTTAAGGCCTCAACGTCGTGACGGATTTTTGCTGGGCGTCTATGGGCCCACACACTTTTTTGGACATAATTAGAGTTTAAAAAAAAAACAAAAAAACTTGAAGGTGCCTCAGTGTTTTACAGAATTAATGAAATAGCATCTCTCATGGCCCACCATTTTTGTTTTGATATGTGAAGTATTTTTTTACTGCAAAAATAACCTAATTTCGCCATTTTGACTTGTCTGGTAACAATGACTGTGGTCATCCGTCCCGTTTGCCCCTGCATAAACTTCTCGGCTACGAAGCAGCGACGCGATGACAGTAGTGGACATTCGTCTGTGCACTTTGCTTATGTATTCCTTTAGGCAGTGTCCCCATGGGTGATTCTTTGTGGCAGTTACGACGTTCCGCTCGAAATGTCTGTGGCAATAAAAGGGTGTGAATGCAATAGCAGCTTCATACTTTCGTGGTGCTACACTTTCTCAAGTTGAACATTGTGTACTTTCGTTAATGTTCTCCCTTGAGAGGACATCCCACCACACTCATTCCAACATATGCCTGAGCTTATAATAAATGTGCCTGGAGATTTTTAGCTGGATGTCAGGTGACTAACAACTCAAGTTCATGATCGAGCACGTATGCAGGCAGGCATAAGAGCAGAAGAATGTTTAGCATAGCTAAAAGATGAGGTTTCAGACGGTTACTATATCGCTATCAAGAAAAAAGCATCCCGCGCACTAAAAGGCATTTTTCACTCGTACAGGAATAAGACTAGTAATCGAAGTTTCCAGCTACTTTGTTTTTTAAGTATTGTTGCAATCGAAGTTCGTACCAAGAATCGCTAATTTTTGTACCTGGCTGCTAATCCTTGAATTCGCCGCTCTTTTTTTTTTTTTTTTTTTTCTCGGTCTCCATTAGTTTTACTGGTTCTCTTGAACTATCGTAGCATGCGGCTGCTGCCAGTAAAACCGAACAGCGCCGTTCCTGTTTTCCTCACTCGCATCACACGACTTCGACGTACGCTTCGACAACATCCGTGTTTGTTTACTTTTCGCGAAAAACGCAGCCCACCAAATGCTGGCAACATTGCCATTGCGTATGCAGAAGAACGAGCGATTCGGTTGTTTTACAGCGATAGCTGTTATGGGCTCTTCCCCCCCTTTGGAATGATGGCGTAGGGTGTAGGGCGTAGGGCATTCGGTATCCGTCGTCGATATTGAGGATTGCTCCAAAACATTTTGTTAAATTTCGCCGCTGTCAGGAATCGACCCTGGGTCTGCTGCGTGTGAGGCAAGCGCTTTGCCCCTGCACTACTGGCTCCATGGCACACTGCATCAGTAAAGTGTGTGTGGTGAGCACACATGTGCATATGAGTCTCGTGCACCGTCCGGCTACCTCCGTTTTCCAGGGAACGCAGCGGAACACAATCGTCCATGCACGCGAGATGCGTTAAATGGAAAGCAGGTCATGCCTATCATCGACAGTACACGCTCATGACGAAAATACAAAGAAGTAGCTTGAAACAAAACAGTGCCGTAGCACAGACAAAGCTATGAGCTCAAGCCCCAAGCAAACAATAAAAGGAGAAGACCAAAATGGCTAGATGTCAAAACCCTAAGCAAAGTGCACATAAAGGCGCCCTAGTGAGGTGCTAGTGCAGCTGGTATTGGGTGTTTTCATTGGCATAATTTAGTCCACCATTTTATTGTTATTAGCTGTCTGGCGCGTGCCAAATAGAAGCATTTCGATGATGCCTAAGACTATCAAATCCGTAAAGCACAGAAACTTATACCTGCCATTGTGTTACCATTGAACAACGAAATGGCCGATTGACATCACATGAAAACAACCAACGCCTATTTGGTGCGTTAACCTGCTTAGCCCGGTGGAAACTGTCCTACCCAAATGAGCCACGCCGCGATTCGCAAAAGCGTCAGAAATGAGTTGGAAAAATTTGTGAACTTGGAGTTGCTTGTGAAGTAGCCACAGACGTGTACTTATGCAACGCACATTTGATAAATCTGTGTTCCGTCGAAGGGTAGCTTCACTACTCGTGGATCCAGATGAGCAAACGGCGCAAAGCATTCTGAATGCGAACCTGATCATTGAGGGTCTTGTGCTAGCTTGCACTAGCTCGCACTTCAGCATCAAAATCTTTAGTCGCGTGGCGGACAACGCATAAAGCCGAAGGTTGGGGGCCTAAATCCGGACTTCGTATTTCTAAACAGGTTAGTGCCCATGGTGCCACACAGTGGACCACCCCTCGCAACTCACTTTACATATCACAAAGTGTACTGAGTGTTCCCAAAAAGGGTACGTGCAAATGTAGTCATGCCACAGGGTTCACACAGATTATTCACTTAATCGGTCAACACAGGCGTATTACAGGTGTTGACGCGGATGCGCCAACAAATAACGACGAGAAACAGTCGACTGAATAGCGCGGCGTCATTAACGTTATGCACATAGGGTAACGTTAATTCTTCACAGGAACTGCACCACACCAGAGATCGATTCATCGTAGCTGCGGGAGGGGAAAGAGCCTGATTGCGCTACAAGTGTCTATAGGGTGTTTTCATAAGACTTAAGTCTGTCATTTTGTTAATAGAAGTCGGCGTAATGAGATCTGGAAGCTTCTGCGCACTACGCATCTGAGGGCATGAAATGAATTCTTAGAATGATCGCCTTCGGCACAAGCCATAGAACTCATCACAACAAAATGGCGAACAAAAACACGTAGGTGAATACACCTCATACTCCGAAGATGTATTCAAACAAAAACTACGTCTTTGCCATTTGCTTGTGACTGTGAGAGTGCAGCGAGGGCGCGGCCGTGAGCAACAAGCTCGGACGTTTACAAAATATAGCGTCTACCTGTTAGTCAGGGAAGCATGTCGTTTTTGGCACGACACACGGCATCTCACACTGTTACGATGCAAAAAAAGTTCTATCGAACCGAACAAGAGGTGTTCAATCCCGATTTGTATTGAGCTGACCAAACATGTTCGTGTCACACTGATGCGACTACGCCGATCAATAAGGACAAACATAAAGGCAGATTGAACAGCGACGTTAATTAACAGTCAAGAAAATCGGCTGTCATAGCCCATACCGATATTTCCAACGTGTTGAACCTCGGCAGCAGCGAACTTCGAGACTCCAAACTTCTTCTGCCATCTGCACTGCATCTGCCTCCGCCATTTGCCGCCATCCGCCATTCAGGGCGCCGCCGCGCCGCGTCGGCCGCGCCATCACGCGGCTGACGCGGCGATAAGACAATAACTCGAACAGAAAATTAAAAAAAAAAAACTTATAGGGAAATCGCTATCACTAATTAGGAATTATTTTGAGCATTTCTGTGACAAATTAAGAACGTTAATTATTAGGCTTCAAAGTTTTCTTACTTCCCACCCATCCAACCGACTCAATGAATGTTACTGGTGTAGGAAACGAAACCGAAACCAAGAGCGGCGTCAGAAAAGCCGGATGTCAATCAGCGTGGGGATTAGCCTACCACGCCTACCCTCTCCCTTTCTTTTCCTTGATCCTTTTCACCTTTCAACCCTTTTTTTTCCCCCTGTTGCAACCTGCTGTTTCAAGCTCGACATCGAAGCCACTGGTGTTGGTTGAATCATCGTGCTCTTGTTTGAATCGCCGTGCTTTCGTCCACGATTTGACTTTTGCTTGCCAGCGTGGAGTTCACCAAGGTGCGGGTCACGGTGGTGCGGGTACACGTGTTGTGTGGGTACACGTGTTGTGTGTCACTGAATGAACCATCGGCGACGTGTTCTGCGAGACATTTGTAAGCTGGTTGAATCACCGTTACTTTTCCTCTCCAGTATCCTGACCGCTGCGCACTCGTGCACGAGTTGAATGTGCTTTGCATCACTGTTTTTTCGTTCCCCAGAGTGGTGAGCGTCGTGCTTTCATGCGCGAAACGAAAGTGCGACTTGTCTTCTGTGTATCACTGCTACTGAACCGCTGAATTTTTTTAACGATGGACGAGCCTCCTTCGCCGTTCGAGCGGCTGGAGGTAGTGAAGGACGACCTCGCGTCGACGGAAAAGGAATCAGTGTTTCGCGCGAACCTGAACAACGAAGCGGCCGTCGACGAATGGCTGGAGGCCTACAGTCTCCAAACAAACACTTCTTGGATCGTCCAAAAGGTCCAGAAGGAGGGACAACGGTACGTTCATGTCATTCATGCTTTCCGCGATTGAGGACCGCATCGATGATAATTGGAATGCGGCTCTCAACTAACTATATATCCTGAGTCTTTGGCCGTCTCGGCATGCTATTTAGGTTTCCTAAATTCAGAACAGTTATTGAGAAAACAGCGAATGGAAAACACATTCGAAATTTCCCGCGCAGCCGGGTGCAGTGACGTCACGGAGAGGCAGACGTGCAGGTCGAGAAAAAATAGAGCATGCTGCGGATTTGTTTGAACCTGCGTAGTCAGGGTGAAAATGAAATGGCATTTGTTTCACACCACCAAACTTCGTGTAATCAGTTGTCAATAGTCGTGAAATGGAGCGCATAGCCAATGAATGGGAAGCGGAGAAACTTTCCAATGTCGCAGAGCTTTATACACCCCCCCCCCCCCCCCCCCCAACACCCCCAGGTTGAGCCCGACCCCCCCCCCCCCCCCAGAATTTTTTGTGCAAAGTACAGACAAGGCTACACCCCCCCCCCCCCCCCCCTCAACACACCCCCAGGTTGAGCCCGACCCCCCCCCCCCCAGAATTTTTTGTGCAAAGCACAGACAAGGCTGCACCTCCCTCCCCCACACACCCCCTACAGCCGCCCAAAAACTTGTGACCCCCCCCCCCCCCCTTGTTGAAAATTCTGGATAAACCCCTGCCAATGTGTATTTAAGTGGTGTACTTACCATACCCAAATTTCATTAGTGTAGGCTCTCGGCACTTTCCCATGCCATAGAGATATAGCGTTTTTCTTTTCCAGGATTTTAATCCGGGAACCTACTCATGAAATTTGAGTATGATAAATGCACCTCCTAAAGAGACCTTGAGAAGTTTCACTGCTATCCAATCATTGGCCTATTTATACGATCAATTTTACGCCTGAAGAGCGCCCGCGGACACCATTCGAAAAAAACACTCCTCCCACGTGTGAGCCAAATCTGTGAGCTATTCGAGTGAGCCAAATGAACCTCTCCACTTTAAAGCAGCTTTCCTCCTCAAGAATTAACGCTACCCTATCTGCATAGGGTGCTCCCCCTTATTTTGCTGCATTTGTGGTATTTTCAGAATGGTCTTCCACAAGGTCTGGCGCTGCCAGCACCACCCTCGCAACAAGGTGTCCGAGCGCCGCAACGCTGTGTGCATGGCCAGACTCGACGTAAAGATAAAAAAGTTGAGCAAGGGCTCAAAACAGAACGACCCGTACCTGCGCAGGGACGTTCCCTTGGCTACTGTCATACGAATGGACACTCAACATTCGCATAATACACATTCAGCAGACGCTCTGCGCCTCCTTCGGGGCACACGTACCACGAGGCAGACGTTTGTGGGCTACTTTAGCGACGGGATGGCAGTCAGCGAGGCACGGAGGCTCCACGAAAGCAAACTCTGCATGGAGGAGAACGGTCCCGAGCTGCTGGCCAACGGCGCCCTCAACCCTCTGGCCAGAACCGTGCAACACTGGCACACTGTGTGGAGGAGCGCCTGCTTCGGTGGTGGCCCCATCGACGCTCTCTCCAAGCTGGAGGAGAAGGCACCCCTCTATGCTGCTCAAGGTATGCTACAAGTTATTACAGTGCCATGGCTTATTTTTGACATCACATGACCTACCAGTGTATCTTTCCACGTCACCTTGTGAAAAGAGAGGTATTGTTCATCTGTGAGCTTCAGCACTTGCCACTAGGCACATGCTATTAGAGAGCAACACCAGTTCACATTCACATTTCTCGGCTCTATGCACATCACATGTAGCTGTGGCAGTAACTACACATTTTTTTTGCTGGGAATTTTAGGGGTACAGAGGTGAGTTGCATCGTAAAGCTCACTTGAGAAAAGTGATTAAAAAGAGCCGTGCCTCAATTTACTTAACAATTTCCAGGCACAAGTGTGACGGTCAGCCGGAGTGACACCAGCAGCTGTTGGGCAGTTCTGGTCGTGACCCCCATCATGCGGCGGGCCCAGGCACTGGAGGCAGCGAGGGACATTGTCTTTATAGACTCGACGTCCTCGTGTGACACCACCAAGTGCACCGTGACAGTGGTGCTGGTGGCGACAATGGCTGGCGCCGTCCCCTTAGCAGTCCTCCTGCACAACGAGCAAAGCACGGACGGGTACTCGGCAGCATTCAAGCTCCTCAGCGGGACCCATCCACTCTGCTTTGGGGGTCTATCCGTAAGTAGAAAATAATGTGGAAATTATAGCTTTTCTCCGTGGAAAAAAGCTGGTTGTCATTTACTACACTTGTTTCTGCCTCAAGAACATTAGAACCCTAGTAAAAAGCTTCGGTGTCTGCAGATGCAACAAAATTTCCCCCTTATGTAAAAATTGGCGTTTCATATTTTTAATGTTTAATTTTCTCCAAATTCGAGTGTGTCGTTTCGGTGCCTCACTTTTAACTCCGAAATTCAGTGTTTTCGGTGTAAATTTTTGCGGTCAACCAGGAATTGTGGTTTATCAGGGCCCATGTTGTAAAAGCAAATGCATATTTTTCGCATTTCTAGAAAACACAGCACAGCTTCATTCGCAACCCGGGATATAACAAACTAGTTTGCACTGTGCAAGAAATATGTGCAAAGCGTCATCATTCCGTTGACACGGATGCACATGTGTGCCAAGCATTCCACAAACTTCAGGAGGATACTGCTCCAGGCACAAATGCGAGCCAGCATTGCTGACAAAATTGTGCCGTGATGAAGCATGCAATAACTTTTGACGACACTGTTTCAGACAAAAAAAATTAGAGGGACACTTGGCCTTAAGGGTGCGACGCGATAGCGCAAGGCCGGGTTGTCAGGACAGGGGTGGAGGAGGGCGGGAGTGCAGAGGAGGCGGGGAAGGGAGGGCAGGGTGGTGGGGCGGTTGGGGGACTGGAGGGGTTGTAGGGTGGTGGGGGAGGGAAGGTGTGGGGAGCTGCAGGGTCACACCACCCCCCACTGCTACTAAGAGAGGGCAGGGCATGGAAGTCAAGGGGATGGAGGTCAGGAGTCTGGGGAGTGGAGGGGTTGCAGGCGGGAGGGGAAGGAGAGGGGAGTAGTGGGGGAGAGAATGGGAGTTACGGGGGGTAAGGAGAGGGAAATCCCATCACTGATTCCCATTTAGCATCCGGGCCACGTGACCCGGGTTTTGAGGAACGGGGAAGGGCCCTCCCACGAGGTCACGCCAGACGCCGTGACCCGGCTCACTCGACACAGGTCACTGACCGGTCACGCCAGTCCAGCCGGGCCACCTAGCATGACCCGGGTCACGCCAGGTGCCATGGCCTGGTTCATGTGACCCGTGTTCCGGGTCACGTGACCCACGAGGTCACGCTGGACGCTGCTGGACTCCTACTACGCTGCCTTTTCCGCTAAACGGGAGCCTTACGCTAAGTGGCGGCCCATACTGCAAGTGAGATGACCGGCAGTAGCCGTCACCTCCCCTAGTAGCACCATATGTTGCCATAACGTAACTGGAATGTCACAAATGTAATGTAACGTTGGGGCACATTTGGGTATGTTATAGCAATGTTTGAAAACTAACGTAACAGAAACGTTCTCCTGTAACATTGTTTGAATGTCACTGAACGTCATGTAACGTTACATCACATAGGCAAACGTTCCAGGAATGTTAGAGAAGCAACATTGGAGCAACGTTTAGGAATAACCTCTTGGTAACATTTCCATCCTGACATACGGGCAATGTTATGCAGCGATGTTGGCCTAATGTGACGAAATGTGACGCATCACCACATCACACAGAGGCTGGTCAAGGATACACGAAGATACCAAACTTATAATAGTTCAATGTTGATTCTCTTGTTCAAACATTTTTATTTTTTTACAAACAGAAAGACCGCTCTAATGCTTGTGACGGGCGTGTTTGAAACAAATGTTCAAAATGTACCCTGGAAAGATTGCAGAAAATTAAAAAAATATCTGTCCAAAAGGTTTATGATAAAATTGAATTCATTTGTGTGTATGGCATTTCCTTGCTTCCAATATTCACGAGCTAGCATGCACCCTCATCATAGCTTTTAGGTTAAGGTCATTCGAATGTCCAGCTTTTGGAAC